TACTCAATGCGTCGGCTCTCTTGTTGTTGGTTCTGGGAACGTGAGAGATGGAGCATTTTTCAAACTTGTCTTTGATTTCCAGGACCTTCTCGAGGTATTGCCGAAGGTGTTCCTCACGGACTGTGTATTCACCTTTGATTTGTTTAATCACTACTTGAGAGTCGCTAAATACTTGCAAGTTTTGAACCCCTAATTTGAGGGCCATATTAAATCCTATGATCATTGCCTCGTATTCAACAACATTATTGGTAACCGGGAAACCGAACCTCAGAGCGTAGGAATATTCTGCATCGTATTCTTTGACTTCCTCGATTTCTCGAGGTGCTACCGGCTTCGCTAGGATGATCCCCGCTCCTCCCCCGTCTTCGCAGGAAGAGCCGTCGACGTACAGGGTCCAGGCTTGAGGATCTGTGGAGGGATGTTCGTGTAGTTGCTTCTTCGGTATTGATTCTTGCGTGGTTCCCGAAGCTCTGGAATTTCCACTAGGAAATCTGCGAATGCCTGCCCTTTTATGGCCGTACGGGACTTGTACTCGATACGATGTTCCCCCAACTCGACCGCCCATTTCATCATTCGGCCTAAAGCTTCTGGTTTGAGGAGGACTTGTTGGATGGGTTGCTCGGTCAAGACTTGTATAGGATGGGCTTGAAAGTAGGGACGCAACCGGCGGGCAGCGAGTACGAGGCTTAGGATGAGTTTTTCCATGGGGTATATCGAGATTCTGCCCCTTGTAGGACTTTGTTGACAAAGTAGACTGGGAGCTCCTTGTTGTCTTTTTTCTGAATCAGCACTGCGGATATGGCAGTTTCTTGAGCAGCAAAATAGATATATAGGACTTCCCCTTGTTGCGGTTTCGCTAGCATAGGGAGCTGTTTGAGATGTTCCTTTAGCTCCTGAAAGGCTTTTTGACATTATTCGGTCCATTGGAAACCCCTCCCTTTTCTTAGAGTCTTGAAAAAGGGGAGGCTTCCCTCTGCTGCTCGAGACAAAAATCTGTTAAGGGCTGCTAGAGATCCTGCGAGTTTCTGTACATCCTTGACGGTTTTCGGGGCTTCCATCGAAAGAATTGCTTCAACTTTTGAAGGATCAACACTTATTCCGTCCTTTGACACTTGAAATCCGAGGAATTTCCCAGAACGTACGCAGAAGGCGCATTTCTTTGGATTGAGTTTCATGTTAATTCTGCGCAGGATTGTGAAGATCACCTTCATGTCTTCGACCACCCTGTCGTCCAAATTGCTCTTGATAACTATGTCATCCACATATATCTCGATGTTTCTTCCGATTTGACTGTGGAAAGCCCTATTAACCAAACGCTGATAGGTGGCCCCCGCGTTTTTCAACCCAAACGGCATTTTGTCGTAACAGTATACTCCAATCTCTGTGATGTAAGCCGTTTTCTCAGCATCCTCCCCGGCCATATGAATCTGATGGTATCTTTTATACGCGTCGAGGAAGCTAAGGGTCCAGTAACCGGTAATGCCTTCCACCATTTGGTCAATTACGGGCAAGGGGTAGCAGTCTTTCGGACAATGTTTGTTTAGATCAGTGTAATCTTGGCACATGCGCCAGGAATTGTCTGGTTTGTGAACAAGGACCGGGTTGGCCAGCCTGGTGGGCCAGAGCACTTCTTTCAAAATATTGGCTCGAACCAGCTTAAGGGTTTCCTTGTTAATTACATCATTGCACTCTCGAGCGAAAACCCTCTTCTTTTGCTTGACGGGTCTGACATTTGGATCAACATTCAGCTTGTGCTCGATAATGTGCCGAGGAACTTCGGTCATAACGGATGGAGACCATGCAAAAATGTCCCGAAAGTCACGTAACAAGGCGATTATTTCAGTCCGCAATGCTCCCTCAACGGATATCCCCAGTTTGATGGTTTTTTCTGGCTCCTTTTCATCTAGGATCAACTCTTCCGTCTTGCTGCTTAGCGGGGGGTTTTGATCGAGATCCATGTCTGGGACATGGATCTCTTGTTTCCTCTGATTACACTCGGCCCTCGACACGCCTTGCCAAATCGAGTAGCACCCTGATGTTGTAACGGCTAGCTCCGGCTTTACTGTTTTCTTCCCAATTCTTACTGTCGTGAGAAGACTGCCGTGAGAAGACATTCTCGAGAGCTCCGTTGGCACCCTTGAACTATTCCTATCCCAAATTCCGTTGGGAACTTCATGACCAAGTGATAAGGTGACCAGACAGCGTGAGCTTGGCACATCCATGGCCGTCCTAGAATCACATTAAATAGTGAGGGAGCATCGATTATGGCGAAATCCATTGTTAGATTTACCGTTCGAGGATACGTCCCTACCGTGATTGGAAGCCTGACGATCCCACTTGGGATTATCGTGTGCCCAGAGAAGCCCATCAATGGTAAGGTAGTCGGGCGCCAATCTGGGTTCTATATATTCATTCTCTTGAAACAATCATTGTAGATGATGTCGACCGCGCTGCCATTGTCGACGTACACGTGACTTACCCCCACATTACCTATGATGGCATCGATAACCATGGCATTGCTGTGGGGACATACACCGGGGACGACGTCACTATTAGTGAAGACAATTGCCTCGGTTCCTTTAAACCGCTTGTGACTTGGCTCCTACGGTGGGATTTTTGTTACCTGTCGAACAGAGACTTTCATTGCCGCGGTCGAGAGGACCTCGAGAGGTGCTCCATAAATTGCTCCGACATTGTGGGTAATCTGCTTGGTAGGGTCGAGGGGAGGTATTTGCTGTATTGGCTGCGGTTTGTTATCGAGAGCTGGCTGGGCCAGTTGTTGTGAGTTATCCATCGGTTGCTAATTATTTCTTCGGTTGTCTCTGCGAGAACCATGATTGTTGTTTCGCCTAGGGAAGTTACGAGGGGTGCCGGGTTTTTCTCGGGAACTACGGGTATCTCCTCGAGCGGTGCCTTGCGTGTTCTGCACATATTGTTGGAATTTACCGGACTTCACTCCTGCTTCAATTTCCCGCTTGAGCTCTCGACAATCCTCCGTATCATGTCCATGATCCTTGTGGTACTCACAATACCGATCCGTGGACCTATTCGGATTATGAGTCAATGGCTTTGGGGTTGGGAACTCGTCCTTATGGATTTGGAGTATCTCCCGTCGAGGCTTTATCAATGGAGTGAGTAATCTGTCGAGCCTAGGCAGTGAAGGTTTGCTTTCAGTCAGGGATTTATGTCTGTCTTTCCCCCCTCGCTCCCCTACAAGTGAGAAAGATTCCTGGGAGTTCTTCAGTGTCTGTTCCCGTTGGATATAACTTTCCACCGTGGCCCACATCTCTTGGGTGTTCCGTGGAGGTTTAGTAGTTAATTTTACTCGCAGGGGGGCGGACTTCCCCCAGGGGTTGAGTCCTTGGATGAAGCCATTCCTCACGTCTCTGTCATCGAGATTGTCAATTTGGAGAGATTCACGGGTAAAGCGGCGATGGAAATCTGCGAGGCTCTCGTTATGTCCTTGTCTTATGGAGGATAGGTCAACGGACATTTTTGTGACTTGCTTGCTGAGTAAAAACCTAGTGGCTAACTTTACCGTGAGATCCTTAAAGCTGTCAATGCTTCCCTCTGGCAACTGCCCAAACCAACGTTGTGCCTGCCCGTCGAGGAATGATGGTAGAGCTTTTGCCATGAAGTCTAGAGATGCGTTACAGATTCTCATGACTTGTACGTATTTGTTGAGAAATCACTGCGAATCAGAATCTCCTGTATAACAGGTGAAGTCTTTGGAGAAGTCGAAGTCTTTAGGTTTCGGACAGTCTCGAATCCTGGGGATGAAAGGAGTTCGGTCCACGATCATCCCTATCATCCTTCGCATTGATGAGTCTCGAATCGAAGGGTCCTGGTTACCTCGATTATCCTGATTTCGAGGTGGAGAGTCTTCTCCTCGACGATAGTCATGACGGGATTTTTCCTGCGTCCCTTTTGGTCCCAATCGAGAGTGGACATTGTTTTTTGGGGGTTCCCACTCTCTTTTAGACAATTCCTCGACGCTAGGTGATCGTCGTCGATCTGGTCTGCGAAATTGTTTCTTCTACTCGTGCTCCAGTACAAACTGCTGAATCGCCTGATCGTCGTACTCGTGCTCCACCGGGTTTGTCCTCTCGAGTGCTTCCCAGTAAGTATCGCCGGGGGCCTCGGAAGGTTCAGCACGAGAAACTTCTCGATAGGAGGTTTCTTTGCGAGTTCTTTCCTCCCCTTCGTTTGGGACCGGACGTTTGCCTCTTCTGATCTTGAGGAGATCCATGGTCCTTCTTGTCTCTTTTTCCTCGACCAACTCCTCCATTTCTTGTTCCGTTGGGTCTGGAAGACCTAACAAACAGCAGCGTTTATATTCCTCGAGAATATATTTCTTTTTTCTTTGGTTGAGGGAGTTATCATCCTTCAACTTTTTCAGTTCCGCTTCGATCTCGGCCAACCTTTGTTTCTGGAGTGGATCGGGGGTTTCACGGTGACGATTCTGATCGGTTGGTTTGACAGGGGTAGTCTCTTTCTTGTTTCGTCGATCGTTCCTTTTCTGTTTCTGCCTCCATCGGAAGTGTGCCAGAGTTTCGCCGTCCTCAGGGCTTGTCTGCCTTCCAGTTGGGGACTATCAACTACCACCATCTTTCCTTCTACCGATTCTGTTCTGGAAGCGAATTGAAAGGTTTCGAAAAGCTTGAAAAAACTTGGTAACACAAACCCTAGTTTTCGAGTCCCACTGGGCGTGCCACTTCACGATACCTGGAATTGTACCGCCGGTATAGGATGGAACTCCGGTTAGGGTTTCCTGCAAAACAGAGCCTCGGGCGTCTCCCGAGGGCAGACACTCCGAAGCTTAAGTTAGAAAATAGGGTTGCGACTGTATTAATTTGATAGTCAAGATTGCGTACCTCTCTTGTGGAATAACGGTCCCTATTTATAGATCTCCCCAACATCCGATTCCCACTAGGATTAGTAATAACAGGCCGCCATACCAGGGGTAGTTAAACCCCTGGAATCGAGTAATGGGCTGAGTAATGGGCCGATCACTGGGAGTGACGGATATGGACTCACCAAATAGTGACTGCGTTGATTTTTCACGACATTTTATTCGTGTCTTCGGCGATATCGAAACCAAGGTGGAAGGTAATCTAATCAATGGAGTCGAAGAGGAGTCACGAACAATTAAAGAAGCCATAGATGAAGAATCGAAAATCGATGAGGTGGTTACCAAAGAAACCGCCATGAAGTGCCAAGAATTGTCCTTTCTCGATCAGGATGCATTTTTGACAGATTCTTGGGATGCCAAATTACCGGAATGTAGAAGCCAAGGAATTTTTCAAGAATCAACTTTTGGGGATGAGCTCGACCAAGATTTTCAGGATAACTCTAATGAATGTGAAGCGTTTGACGCAAGTTCGGATCCAATTGGAAAAATTCTTGAAGATGACGACGAGCCCAAACACAGTTCCGAAGTTGAAGCAGAGGATGATGGTGTACAAAAAATTGATTCAGACCTTTTGCCTTCTCACTCGAATGAATTCGGCGTAGAAGGTATATCTCTGGATTCTTTAGATAAGTTGGGTTGTAACGAGTTGATTAATTTCATTCATGAAGTCAATTCTTGTGATGGTAATTTGATGATCTTGAATGATTATAGAAATGCGGTCGCCCTTGATAGAAATGATGAGAAATCATTTAAATTGAATGTTTCTATAAGAGCAGATTGTTCTGTTGGCTTTGAGGAGTTAGGATTAGTTTCTGTTAAGGGCAATAGTCGTGATAAAGGTTGGTCATACTGTGATTTGAAGTCTGATCCTGTTGAAGATGTTGGCAACAGTTGGAATTATTCGAATATCATCGGTTCCCATAAAGTTTTCTGGTATAAGAATGAGCTCAATTTGGAGAAAAGGGATCTTGTGTTTATGCTTCCAAATGTTGAACGTGTTCAGAGTTTTGAATTATACAGGACGTCAAAAGTGTTTGAGCAGAATTATGATTTTATAGATTGTGAAAGATGTGGATTTTATGACGATTCTAAGGGAGTTTGCTATGGATATTAGCGTCGATCAAGGAAACAAACTTCTCAAAAGATGGGTTGATTGGGTTACCAGTTTTAGAGGAGGAACCAATTCTAGGAAGATGTTGAAATTTCAGTTGCCAGTCAAATTGCGGACATATCAACAACAGAGGATAGAATTTTTTGGAAACCAGAAAGCGTCTGCTAAGTTACTCAAGCAAAATATTGATCCAACCCAATCCGTTTGTGCTTCACTTCCAGTCTCTGATGATAATTTGATGACCATAGCTCCTGAGGCCATTTTGCAAAGACGTACTGAGGAACGAGGAAGTCAAAGTGTAAAGAAATTCTTGATTAGGTGGATGAATTTGATCCCTGAAGAAGCTTCCCTAGAAGATGAAGATTTCATCAGAATTTGATTGCCTGCATTTCTGAGTGATCTACCATGATTAGGGTTCAGTCTTGTCATAAAATTCTGGAACCTTAAGGACAAGGTTCCTTCTTAAGGGGGAATGATTTCTTAGCTATTAGCCCATTTAGGTTAAACGGTGCTGTTTATTTCAGTTGAGTAGCTTATATATGTAATAGAATAAGAAAAAGGGGGATTATTCGGTTATTGATGATGAATTTGATTCTTGTCTCATTTCTTCTTCTCTGATCTCTCTGTTGCCTCTCTCCCTCAGTCTCTGAAATCTTTTTTGCCCCGTTTTTTCCAATTCTTTCCTTTTGGGTCGGATCCAAACCTTTCTATCCAGTTCATAACAACATGGCCAATGATGTATGATATAGTCAATATTAATCTATTTCGGCTGTAAAATCAATCCCAAAAGATATACAATTATTCGACCCAAATACATGAGTACTTGTTTTAAGCCTCAACTATTTCAAATAATTTTTTCTGAAAATAAAACAAAGCATAATATGGTACATTTTAGTTTAATCCCTAACTAATCCTAAAGGTGTGTTCTTTTTGCAGTAATGGGAATGGAGGTAATGGGAATTTGATTCTGTTTCTTACTATTACTGCGTTTCGTAAAAAGTAACGGGTAAAGGATAAACTTTCTGGTGTAATCAGATAACCTACCATAAGTAATCCTAATCTCATCCAATTACTTTAGTTATCTATTCAATCTCAAATATGATAAAACAAATCAAAAGGGCGCTCTATTTTAAGCGCGTCCAAATTTTGTGCGGGAAAAATTTGGTTCTCTTTAAATACAGCTTCTCCCCCACTAATTCATCAACTCACTTTTAGAACAAAAATAAAAACTAGAAGGTATTTCTTGCCATCTATGATTTTCTTTTTTGTTTTTATTTTTTCTAACGCTCGAAGGGTGAAAAGTTGGAAGAAGAAAATCCTTTTCAATAATTTTTGGTCAAGCAATTCATTTTTTTAAGCTTTTTATCGTCTTCCAAATTGTTTTTCCCAACTACGTCAATTTTCTCTTTTGATTATGTTATAATTTAAAATTAGATTGGAGGTTAGAGCCTATTTCTGCCTCAAATCATTTGTGTACGCATGGTTCAAAACGGAAAAGAATTTTGGCTTTCCACTGTAAAAATACATCTGGTTGTTCACCGAGTGAAAATTAGTCCTTTTGTCCAGATTTAGATGCGTATCAATAATAAATGGGGTGTAGAACTTTTCTTGAACCATATTTTACTTAATTTGTTGAGGATTATTTGATATGATTCTTTTAGTATTTATTTTAAGTAGGGACGTTGATATAGTAATGCAAATTATTTCATTAATTATAATTTTGCAAAACCTTTTTTTTTCTTATAGTTTATTTAAAATTTTAATTTTTATTCTGATACTTATATAAAAAAGAAACGTATCAATCGTCAAGTAATGCCTATTCCACATATTTGGAACATGTCAAATGTAATGAAAGATTCCTTTAATAAATGTATGTTTTTTCATCAGAAATGAAATTCCGTTTCCCTAATTCCTTTTCCGGACAAAAAAACGCAGCTAAAATTCTTATAAATTAGTTACTATCTCTGTCCCAAAATTATTGTCCACTTTGAGATTTCACTTTTAGTACAATATGAACTAAATGAAAATTCAAACTGGACAATAATTGCGGGATGGGGGGAGTACATCATAAGTATGTAATCTACTTCAAGCTTGAAAAAAATTTATTTCTAACAATTATACATATGTGTGCATATATATATTTTAGATGTTCATGTGAATTTTGTGATTATTTAGAAATACTGCGGAAATTGTAGAAAATTTATTGCGTGGATTTCTTTACCACAATTTTCTTTTTATATTTAGTTTTTTTTTTCTTTCGTCTAATTTTCTCACTGGTTTTTTTCCTGTCTAGGCGCTTTCAAAGTGTGATAATTAATTATGTCTGATTAACAATAGTTTTACATTTTCTTCTTGATAAATATTTAGAGATACAGTACAATATATTCTATCCGTTTCGAAATAATTTTATAGATTTCACTTCCAATACAAATTGTAATAAAAAATAAAAATCTAAACTGGATTATAGTTTTAGGACAGAGGGAGTATCTATTTCTACTAGAAACATTCACTTGTCTTGAGGGAAATAGGCTCTGTAAATTGTATACAATCAATTGCCAATTTATTGGGAGAGATTAGATACTGCATTAATTTGGAACAAAATTAATATTTTTTGGCAAATAACAAATAATGCAACATTCAGTTCAGATGTTTCTTTTTTCCTTTTTCTTTTTTTTTTTCCTAAAAAAGGGATCAAACAGTGATTTATCACTTATCTCGGCGTGATTTGAATCTATGAACTATTAGAAACAAAGAGGCATCTTACAATTAAGTGGCACTTCACTGTCAGCCATGCTTAGCAGTTGAATATGGATGAAGGAAAAGTACTAGAAATTGGATTTAATGCAACCCGTTTGAAACAGGATGTTCATGCATAGTAGGGATGGATAAAATGTGTTATTTCCTACAGAAGTGCCAAAATGCTGGCCATCATTTCTTCTTTTGTCATGTTAGAGACTTTAGGGAGTTAGGGGATTAATAAGGAAGGATTCTTCTCGTTTGATCGATTAATTTGATTCAAGTCCTTTAAAACATAGAAAAAGAGCTCTAACACACAAAAAAATGAACTAGGAGCAAATCGCATTTTGTGTTAACAAGTGGATTCTTCAGAATTAAGTAATCGAGGCAATTCACAGATTTTTGCATTTTGAAGGGTTTTTTTTTTAAATTTTTTTTTCTGAAACTACAACATCAATCTATATTTTTTCAAGTAATAGTTTTTCTTTTTTTCTGGCGGATAACTTGACGAGCAATATTGTTTATGACGGTCCTCTTATATTCTCAATATGCAGGCTTTTAATCACCACCCCTTCAAATTTTTGGTTTCGTTTTTCCATTGTCTACGGGCACTAAATGAATTCTACAAAGGAAAACTGTATAAAATCGTATTGGCAATATAAATGATTTTTGTATGATTTTACTCCCCTTTCTTATTTTTAATAGTCTATTTTATCGAACCATAATAATAAAATAAAGCAAAATACATGAAATAGAATAGAGAGAATACATCACCATATGTATAACTATTAATTAGACAGTAAAAAATTCTAAAAATATTTTTTTGTTTTAGAAGAAAACCCAAAAAATGGGTAACCCATTTTAAGAGTTCACGGATTTATGTTGTTAACTTCGCTAATCAATTTGCTATGATTCGATGATGACCTAAAGGCTATTTTTGCGAGGAAAATTAAAGCACTTGCAGCTTTTTAAGTACTCCATGTTGAGATTGTGGATTTGCGTTAGTTAGAGTAATTCATCGTATACTAACGATAATTTAAAATGGTAACCTGTCATAGTCGAATCGAGGTATTTAGGTGCGTAAATAGACAGTCGTTAGTGTGTTAACTAATTTGGTGCGATAAGCTGTTCTTGTGCCGTTTTTGTGACACTTTATTTTATTTTTTTTAATGAAATTGACTTGTTCCACAAGGGGAAAAAAAAAGGATTGTTAATTTGCAGGACCATGCTATACTAAAAATGCGATGGTTTTTTTCTTCTGGAGATCATTCCAGTCGCTTCCTTCCAGACTTCCAGTTAATGTAAGGTTTCTTGTCAACTTCCGGCTACCTCCGAGCTCGTCTTCGCTTTTTGCTCGTTGCGAGCACTTTTTCCCCGGTAAAAAGTGATTAGAGGGGGGCAAGATGTAACTTCTATGACTACAGAATGTCTAAGGCAAAATCTTAAATCATATACAATATTAAATCTCTATTGAAATCTGATTTGAGTGAACAGAAATACTTCCTCCTATACTTATTCCAAGATATTTTGATTTGTTTTAAATTTTCACTTGTCGTGTTTTTTCAATTAAAAATCAACCGTTAAAAATACTTTATAATAATTATAAGAATACAATGAATGTGAAATTATTTCTTAGATTTCATTTTCAATGAAAATAACACGACAAATGAAATTTATGACAAATAAAAATTCAATAAAAGCCGGAGGAAGTATCTTCTTGTTAGGCGTGGAATTAATGGTAAAATTGATATGTTGTAAGAAAGTATAATAGCAACTTGAATTTGTTATAATCGATCTACTTTTTCGAACCCGGAATGTTATTACTTATTTTTGTGATACAATGTAAATGTTTTGGGGTGGGAGGGTTGGGTGGGGTGGTTAAGGGATTAGGATGGGGGATGGTTATTGCTGAGAGGTCGAGGGTTCAATTCTCTAACCGACGCCATCCAATTTTATTTTTTTTTTAAAAAAAAAACAATGTAAACGTTATTGGCAATTCTCTCGTGAATTGAATATTGCATACTTTCTTTGATTCATAAATAAGGTATGTTAATTTTTTCTAGGTTTCATTTAGTACGTATTCTTAATTATCAAAAAAATCTTTAAAATATTTCATAACAATCAAAAGATGGAAGGTTCTGAGTTTCCATCAGTTGTAAATTGCTCCTTTAATTGCAGGTTCTCTACAAGTAAAACATGGAAGGTATTCTAGCATAATTCATGGCAAAGTTTTCCAGAATATCTGGAGATTATGCTGGTTCCGTTATCTTCAACCATCACTCTTTTCCTTTTGTTCACTTTTTTGTGGTTGGTTTCCCCTTTGCTTTAATTTGGCATCTAAAAAGGCCTCCTAATATTCCGAAATCTTTGTCACAATAATACACCCTTTTGACATGCATGCTTATGGAAGATTGGAAGTAGTGAATCACATTGATTTTATTGTCTATTATTTTTTCATTTCTATTATTATTATTATTATTATTATTATTATTATTATTATTATTATTATTATGTTTGGATGGAGTGGGAATAGGTAAGAACTAAGAAAAAGTCAAATATGGATCGAGCAAAGCTGAGGATTCCCGGTATTATATATAGGGTCAGAGGTCCACTTGGTCAAATAAGTTCTACAAAGCCAAATCCTTTGATCATTTCTACTACATAGAAGGTGCATGGAATTTAGTTTTTTTTTCCCCAGAATATTTCGTTGAACACCTACAAAATCTTGTCGGTCAGCATTAATTGTGAAAGTAGAACTTTAAACTTTGAGAAATAATATATACCCTGAGAATATAACGTTTTTAGCATTTGACATTTCATTTCATAGTTCTCTCACCTTCCATGAACGTGTGTTACCTTTTTATTCATGAGAAAACAAAATCAGAGTTATATATGTGCATATATATATTTCATACTATTTAACATGTAACCTTTAATTACAATTATTATTCTTTTGAATAGATGAAATTATCAATAATCTGTTTTTTTTAAAAAAATAAATTCCAGCAATCTCTTTGGTGATTCCTCCAAGGTCACAAAATTAATCCCTTTTACCCTATTAAAGCAGAAGACATGAAGCTTATGTGGCAACTACGTATGCATCTGTTTTGGCTCCAATGCACCATATTTCAGATTTCAGAAGTCTTTTTGCCACGTGTAAATCTCTTTTAATTAGAAGTTATATAATTCTTTTTTTTAAAAAAACACATGTTTTAAATGTGACACTTATCCAATGAAAAAATTCTACAAATAAGAATCAGTTACATTTCAAACGAATGGATATATTAATTTAAATTCAAATGTCCAATCGTACAGTTTTGCAGGCTTAATATAAATAAAAAATAAAAAAACTTAAATCCAGTAATTAAAAATAATACCTTATAAACTAATTATTTATTATTCCCTTATAACCTCAGATTTATAAATATATTTTCTAAAACCCCAGACCATAGCATAAATGATATATACGCCTAATTAATTCCTCAAAAAATAATAATTCAATTAGATTTTAATAAAATAATAACTTAGAAGGGGCGCCCGGACATTTACCTGGGCCAAACATCTAGTTATCAATTAAAGCCAATGGAATTAAGTAATCTGCTGTAAATTAAGATACACGCATGCTAACATGTAAGCATGTAACATTTTCACTTCCTATATCCGGTCAACATTCATTTGCATTTTCAGTTTATTATAGTGCGACTATTATTTAGCTACATAAAATTTTATTGTGGTTGTTAAAAAAATAATATTTAAAAAAAAAATTCAAGTCGTAGGGTTGTTTAGGGGCCACCACCATAAAACAATTTGTTCAAAACATATTGGATTTTCAAACATTTCGTTCATGAATTTTTTTTTTTAGTCAAAAAATGTTCCCTAATGACAATGAAAATATCAGGGCCACAATGATACCGCTTGTATGAAAGCGATTGATAAAGAAAATCAATATTCTGGAGTTTCAATTTGGTTTCCTTAATCCTTAGACATAACCCAAACCAAATGGGACAAGTTGTGGTAGGATGTTAGGGTAACCACCTTGACCACCACCCCCCATCAAAAATCCTCACTGCTTTTGTGTACGAGGATAAATCATCATCGTACACTTGGGTGTTATTGTAGCAACAATAATTTTAGAGTAAATGATATAAAAAAATTTATCATTTTTGAAATGATATATGGTAATGTAGTATTCCTGCCACATAAAATATATTTTCAGTTTTTTTATAATTATTTTATTTTTTAAAAACGTGATAGTTAGAACAATAATATTGATAATCACTTAATTGAACAGGATAGGAAAGTAAACCAGAAAAAAAGAAACAAAAACAAAAAAACTACGAAACTGCTCATTTAAGTAACTTTTCACGAGGAAAATTTTTATAAAACAAAAAACATATTTTTAATAATAATATTCACTCCATCCAAAATAGGAATCTCGATTTCACAATTGAAATTATTCAAAAAGCAGTGAAAGGATGAATATTTTCATTGAGACAGTTTATTTTTTAAATTAATCGTAGTTGTTTATTTATATGCCACATGGTAAACGTTTTTTGCAACTCTCTCCGATCTTTATTATAAGATATTTTGATTCGTTATAACTAAGTTTCATTTCGTATATTTTTCTAATTGAAAATAAAATCTTAAAAATATTTAATAATAATAAGAAGAACAAAATAAAATATGAAAATATTTTTATAAAATTTTATTTTCAATTAGAAAAATATCTTATAATAGAAACTCGAGGGAGTATGTTATAAAACGTCAATGTCTCAATTTTCTTTTGTTTGGAAAAGAATCAAAACGGTGCGGACACATAATAAAATAATCTGTTCCCTTTTCTAACGTTTTCTTTCAAAATTGTTATCACTTTGTTGATGGAATATTTTGGGATTGTTCAATCCTTGGCAGCCAATATTATGGCTCCGTGTTTTGAACGTGTAATCTTTTTCTGGGTTAGGCAAAGGAACTTCCCAACTCTTTCAAGTTTTTTCTTCCGAGCAGTCAATAACCCTCCAAAACATCCAGCCTATCAAGAAGAACTTCACTTCCATTTTCATTTTCAATATGTTAGCGCTTAGCAGTTAGCAGGAGGTTTCCTTTTCCTATCAATTTTGTTTACTCAACCGACTTCTCGTTCTTAATCATCACTTAAAAATCAACCTATGTTCACATCATTCCGACAATTTCAGTATGTTAACGTGTAATAACTTAGAGAAGAAGTCCCAAGTCCAGGTAGACGTCCACGGTTGTGAAAGGGCTATGTAACTTTTACGGCATATATTAAAATTATTTATTTTCTTCGGTTAAACTGATTGGACTGAAATAATACAATAAAATAATTATTAAATAAAATGATGAAATATTTGTTATAGAGACATATGACTAATTAGTTTTAAACCACTCACCAAAAATTATGATTTATCGTTTTTTTATGCCTTTGTCTTATGTTTATATCATCTGGTAAGACGACTGTATTGAATAATTTTTTCTTCTACTTTTCCTAAACTCACAATCCTATTTTGCAAGCATTGTAATAATTTACCATTATTTAATATAGTTGTCAGCGGATATTTTGTTTTTGTTGTTGATAAAAAAAGAAAAAAAAATGAAATAAGGATGAACTGCTCCCAAGAAAAAGGCCAAACCAAATTATCATCCATCATCATTACTCCCATCCCTGTTCTTCCCAGAACTCCCACAGATAATGTCAGTTTTTCTTTTCTGATTTTCCTAACAACTGCTTCTCAACCAGATAATGTTCATGGGCATAACAGAGAGGAAACGGAATCTGTTTCACTTCCATTACCATAACCACATCTTTCACCATTGCGGACCTGCAGAAGGAAATCAAGATGCAACCTGTTAAAAACCATCAAATGAACCTGAATCAAATTCCCAAAATAACAAAAAGAAAGAAAATACAAAAAGAATCCAATTAGTATTCAAAGAACCAAAGTCATTTCTGACTAACCCACGAGGATTTCACGCGACGGTGACGGCAACACACGGCATCATAATCAGACGGCGACAAAACCACGCACGAACTCTATTCAGAAGAGATTCCCCCAAATGACAAAATTCACTAACGAACAGGGGATAAACGGCAATTGACGTAACCCTAACGGCTAAATCTGTTATTTATTCACTTTTTATTTCTCTTTTCTGCAGAAAATGCAATAACAGCAGAGAAATTGAATCGATCTTTGGTTGGATGACGAACAACAGAATTGTTCCGCGTATCCACAATTCATCACAACAACAGAGACCATCCAAAATTAAGGGGACCCGGAAAAAAACACCCTTTTCTGCTGAAGCAATTTCAAAACCAGGCTCTTTAAGCTTTCAAAAGAAAAGGAAAAAAAAAAAAAAAGAAGAAAAGAAATGAGTAATATCTAATATGTCTATGTTCTTAAGCGTATACTTCTTTTCTAATTCTGCGTCTATCAGTTCTATCCAGCTTGAATTTTTTTTTTTCTTCCTTTTGAGTACGGTGTTGACTTTTATTGGCAGTAATTTGAGTAAGGCAGTAAGTATTGCCGCCGCCCAGGGCTTCCATGTGGACAGCAGCGAGCATTCCCCGCCGCATTCCGTACGCCGGCGGGCCACAAAAAGCTCACCGGCTTCGATTCCAACCAATTCGACGGAAAATGCTGAATACTCCTCTGTACTGCTCTGGCGGACTGAAATTTCACCTTGGCAGTAACAGAACCGTCGCAGAGCATCGGCGATGACGGCGGAGATATCTTTTTGAGCGACTGAACCGGAAATAAAACCGCTCGAATCTTCATTTCCTTCTTACACGCCTCCGAGAACCGGTCGTACTCGTTGATCAAATTCGCAAGGTCTTCATCCGATTTAACAGAAATTAACACGTCTAGATCCTCATTAGGCAACTTACACTTCAAATTCATCGACGTTCCACATAATTCCCCGAATTTCACCATCAATTCTGATACCAGAAAGGAAATTAAACAACGAAATCAGCACACTAACAAAATTGAGCAAAATCAATCGAAATTAAAACACTCGGTTACAGAAATTATCGAAGATTGAGGCATGAAAAAACACACCGGCAAAGGTAACGGAGCGGTCGACGGAGAGAACGCGGGTGCAACCTCCGACGTAGCGCAGAACGCCGTCGTTCCGGCGTGGGAGGATCTGGCCGTCGTAACTGTAGAGGAATTTGACGGTTTTCGTACAGTTGTTGCAGTTAAGGTTTGGATTCGACATCTGAGTCATTTCTGTTTGAGAGAGGAATTTGAGTTGAAGAAGGACGGGGAAAAAGGGGGGAACTGGAAGCTTCTAAAAGAGAGAGAGAGCGAAGATGCTGAGAACTCGAGGCACCTTCAGAAAACAATGGAAATGATGGGAGGGCGTATTTATGGAAACTAGTAAGGGTATATAGGTAATTAAAGTACTCCGAGGTTTTCACGCGTAAGCCGGTGCAACTTTGCAACCGTGCAAGTATATTCGTTTCTTTCGGGTGAAAGGTTAAATTCGTGCCGGTCTCTCTCTCTCTCTTTTTTTTTTTTTTTAATTTAACTTTAGGTTAAATTTAAATTATGGAACGACTAAGACACAATGCAGACGAATTTAATTTCCAACCAAAAATTCAAGTAACGGATCGTAATTTTTTTTTTGATAAAAACGGATCGTAATTTAAGAACTATTTCTACTTTATCCTTTTCTTTTTCCATATTTTGAAATCATTTTAGAGATTGTAAGATATTAACACAAACCAATTAACCGTACAGTTGAAGATTTAGATTTAGGTTTCGGTTTCAATTTTAATTGTTTGGGCTGTGTCTAGCTAACTAATGTGAGACAAATAGTTTGATTTTTGAGTTTTTGGCTCTCGTTATCGATTTAATTGAATTTTTCATAAGCGAAAAAAAAAAACCTTCTGATTAGTTATGATCCATTTACAAGTTGTTATAACAATTATTGTTCAGTATTTCCTCTCTCTAAAAAAAACTTTATTTTTCATTTTATACTAAAAATAGTGCAAATTTCAAAATTTAATATAAACTATTTTTTGGGACATCAAGACTATTATTTAAACATTTTTGTTAAAAAATCATTGCTCTCGCCACCAATACGGAACATCTTTGCAATGTGATACATTTTAATAAGTATCCACATTAGTATATACTGTATTGTTAGCAAAAAAATATAATAATAATAGTAATAGTAATAATAATAATAATAATAATAATAATCTATAGTCTATAGTATATATATATATATATATATATATATTATACTAAGAGAGAAACCAGAGAGAGAAAACAAAAAAGAATTCTAAAGTTGCCACATAGGATAAAATCATATGTGTCATTTTTCTAATGATTGAGTCAAAAAATATTTACAACAATTATATTAATAGTCCTTCAAATTTTATGTAAATAAAGTTTTATCAAATGACATTTAAAACTATAATTTAAGATAGGAAAATAAAAATTAATTAAATTTAATGGACGGGATTAATGATTATTAATGCATCAGAATTATTTCCTCCCCAAAAGAATCCCCAAAGTTACTACTGGACTCATTTAATTAATCTCTCTAAAAAAAATCTGTCATTTTTCTAATGGTTGAGTCAAAAAATATTTACAACAATTATACTAATAGTCCTTCAAATTTTATGTAAATAAAGTTTTATCAAATGGCATTTAAAACTATAGTTTAAAATAAGAAAATAAAAATTAATTAAATTTAATAAACATTAATGCACCAGAATTATTCCCTCCCCAAAAGAATCCCCAAAGTTACTACTGGACTTATTTAATTAATCTCTCTTAAAAAAAAAAATCTCCCTTCCAATCATGTAAATCAATAGACTACAATTCAAAAAAAAAATACCAATCATTCAACATTAATGTTATCTTTAAAATGTTCTCCCTAAAACATGACCCTTGTATTTTTTCGCCAATAAAAAAAAGGTACAAAACTTGCCTTCAATTATTACTAAAAGGGTGGGATTTAACTATAATTAAATGTTATCTTTTGAATTTCAAACCAATGCATTTATTTGTATAATATCATATCTACCCATATAAATATAATCTTTCCTTAATAAATCTCAAAAATTGTTATAAACTTTATCTTTATCACTGAAATTTTGCATAATCAATTATCATCAATCCCAATTTATCTCCATTTATACATGCCACACAAACCATGAGTATGTTCTAGTGCTGCAAAAATTTCTCCCTCCCCAAAACAACCCGAAATCCAAAGATGAAAGGGCAAAAACTTTAGCCTTACAGCTGGTTTGTTGTTCTGAAAGTGATGAACTAATAGTGGGTCGATCGTGTGGCATGGGAGGTAATGGTTAATTAAAGTTATATATGATTTTTTTTCCGTATGTTCTTCTGCAAAATGATGTTTTAGGGTTCTTTTTTAGACGTTACTAAATTTATGTTTTTTTTTACCCATAATTTCATTAATTATTATTTTCTATTGTCATAGCAAAAAGGGATTAAAGGGCAAAAATTTTAACTCTACATTTGTTGCTCTAAAATATTAAGTATTGGGCCAAACATTATCATATAATCTTTAATTACAACAAAATAACCATAAAAATTTTAAACTTCACACTTCAGTCACACATAATCTACCATCTATTATTGATAATTATTCATTATGTATTTTATGCATACAATCATTTTATCTTTTCATTCAATATGTAACAATAATACAATCTTATTTATTTTACTCTACTTATGAGTGTTACTATCCAGTTCTTCTCTTCTATAAAAATCAAGTGAATACTTTCATTTCAAATGATATGCCCTATTTTATCTTTACAATTACGCCTTTATTTAATTTTAGTTGTATAATGTATCTTAATATGGACTCCAAATACATTTTACACTTTTTATATTTTTTTTTGTTGATTTTTTATAATGTATATAAATAAACCCCGCGCATCGCCCGGGTTTAACATCTAGTATTATACTAAGTGAGAAACCAGAGAGAGGGAATCAAATTTCTTCCCACGTTGACACATAGGACAGTTTCTAATTGGTTGCAACAAAAATTATTTTCAACAATTATACCAAATGTCCTCTAAATTTTCAGTTATTCATTTGTTACCAATTTGAAATTAATTGAATATATGAACCATTAATTAACAAACCCACTAAATCAGCAAAAAACATAATCAATAAAAACTTTCTATTTCGTAATTGTGAGATGAAATAAAAATGAATTTTCAAATCTTCCATTATGTGTCACCCAAAAAATGTAAGAATTAATTTTATTCATTATACAATCTGATTTGATTTGAAATATCCACATCTATAATATATATATATATATATATATATATATTTATCCTATGTGGTACTCTCTTAAGCAATGGTTTTAAAAAAAGTTTCAATATTTATAATAATAGTCCCCGCATAATAGTGTGATGCTAGAATATTCTGATATTGATTATATTAATGCACCGAATTCATATTTTATAATAAAAGGAATAAATTTAAAATTTTAAAAATTGTATTTAAAATAGGGAAATCAAATTTTAAGGAATTAATGTTTTAATGTCTTTTATTGATATATTCAAATTTTAAGATGAAATAGAACACAATCAATTATGAAATCAATCATCATTAATATTTCAATCAACTCAAAATAAATAATATGGTAACTGCTATACTATTTTAAAATTTGAAAGATGTATCGCATTAACGACCCAATTAATAATAATGATGAGATGAAACAAACTAAGATGAGCAGTACTGGTTGCGAAATCTTATCATATATGACAATAATATATTAGGGTTTCATGTGTAATTTTTGATTATTATCTCCCAACCCTTATAAAAATCACCATTGTAAACATGAGTTGCCCCAGAAGCGTTTTGAAGACATACTTCTCAATGTAGAGAATGTACCTCTCAACAAAAATTCACCGTATGCAACCCCCGGCTGCAATCTACATCAACAGTCTCATTCATATGAGCGTGGTTATCGTATACTGAAACTTCAGTCATAACCACTGTAAGATGCATGTGACCTTAATTAAGAGATGTTATTGTTTGTTTATGTAGATTTTAATTTCACAATCATGTTAATTCAAGTTGTCTAATACAACACTATGATCAGTGTAAGGTTCTTGACAAGACAAGCGTAGCTATGCGAATATATTGCGTTGACTTTGTAAAGCTGAGAAAAGGTATGCATATAAATATTTTAATTTCACGTTATATATACGTAAAAATTGGAAATTTGATTGTGATAATTTCAGTGGAAGTGTGGAACCAAAGTTTCAAGGCGATTTTGTTTTAACTTCTCAGTACGTATGAATTTGGTGTTTTTTTTTTATGCAAATTGATTATAATTAATTTATTAAAGAGGTTCCCGTCTTAGGAGGATGGATGCATTCGCCATGGCTGTTCCAATAAAAAGCACAAGAAGTAGAATATGCGACGCCATTTTAAGGGCAAAAAGAAACTTCTTTAAGTTCATCATAAGTATGGAAGAGTTCACGTAGATGGGTTTTGTTTAAGTATCTCAACTTAATTAGGGCTTCACAAATTCAAGAAATAAAATTAAAAAAGGAAAAAAAAAAAAGACATAGGCTAGAAAAAAAATAGTGAGAAATGAATTTCAAATTTATGAGATTTGAAAAGTGTTATTTTCCGTTCTATGTTTATTTGTACTTTTTAATTTTGTGTTGTTGGTGATACACATTAATTGCACTCATGTATTATAGGCTCACTGACATTATTTTACTTATTAGTTTGGTGGAATATGAATACACACATATATATGTATAAATGTTATCGATTAATATATTTTTAATATCACTTTTGCAATTAAAGTAATAATTAATTTGTTGCTGTTTCGTCCAAACGATAATAGCAGCATAAATCTTTTTCTTTAATAATTAGTGAGATGATAACCGTGATTTGTTTAAATTGTCATAAAATGGGGTTGTGTCTTGGGAAATGAAATAAAATATTATTATTATTTTTTGTTGTGTGTGAAATATTATTTTATAATATAAGCTAAAACCAAATTTTTAAACAAAAACAATATAAATATTAAAAAATTTAGCTCATATATCCTTGCGTTATTGCCTGTCGCCATTATTGTAAGCCTTATTCATCAAAAAATTAACTAGATAGATTTGAAAAGCAATGAATTTTCTGTATACGTTACGGCTTGAAATGAAATGACCTATTTTGGAATTAGCAAATTCTTATCCCGTCATTTTAAAATTTGAATACACAACTAGAAACCTCAACGATTTCTTTTTAAAAAAAATAAAGATAGATCATTCTTTAAAATTGAGTTTGTTGTTCCAGACAATTTGGAATGTCTCTTATTC